AACATTATGACAGATAAAGGCTTGGTAAATCTCGCTTCACGTGTAGCGTGAAGCGAGTAATGAGTCTGTTGTATCCTTTATCTTTTACATCACTTGTGAATTGAAATACAGAAGTAAATTGACGATATCGGTATTCTAATTTCGAGTTCCATCCATCCATTTTCTTCCGCTTCATTCGTTGCCGGGTCGCGGGGGCAGCAGTCTAAGCAGAGACACCCAGACTTCCCTATCCACACACACTTCCTCCAGCTCATCCAGCTAATCGAGTTTCCAAGTAGAAAGATAAAACTAAAAAAATGCATTCAAGAGAAAAAAAAATACAATCATTGAGAGGACTGCAAGGTGCCTTATGCTTTGTCTTTGAGTTAAATAACTGACTAACTATAAACGTTGGTAATTGGTATAAAGGACCGCTTGAGACGGATTGATTTACAGTCGAGGATGGGCAGCCTTCTTCCTGATGGCCACATGTTGTAATCCGAGGACAGGGTCTGATGATTTTTGAGCCCTGCTTGACCACAGCCTTCTCATGTCTGCAGTGATTTATGTATGTCTGGTGCGCAACATATGAACAATCTGTTGGCATTGCGGCGTCATTTTGACTCCAATGAACAATTCAAGAATCAGCTCAGGTCGCAGCTTTGTCACAAAATTAAAAGCAGGACAATTTCACTCTCACGTCTCTCTTTATGCTCCTTGTAAATGGAATACTCTAGTGCACTAATCAAGTGTGTTCCTACATTGAGCGCATTTAGGAGTAAACTTAAGATCCATTTGCTCAGACGGTTCTTCTAGTGGACTTGTTGTTAAGCACATTGAGTTGCAAAGTAATTGATATGAAATGAGCTATACAAAAACATCTTCAAAAGGCACACTTGAATATCTTATCCAAGTAGCAGACAAGACTAAAGAACCCTCATAATCTGTAATATTTCCGGTATAGAATCTCAAAGGCAGTGAGATTACTGAGGTGAAAAGTGGACACACTATACTAGACTGAACAAGGTAACAAAGGACAGAATACAATAGAAGGAAGGCTGGAAGTAATTTGGCAGTACGTTTATTAAGACTGACACTTCATTCCAAAAGCGAGTACACCTTACAAGGGCGCTGTTAATTAACTGGAAAGAAATCAGGTCCACTATACCACTACACAATCTTATGGGATCTCCAGTCTTTCACTATAGTACCTCCACCTTCTATCTAATACTGCCTCTACAACCACTTAAGCCGTGACACTCGACTTGTCTGAGCTCTTCTTCCCGACAGAACACACTCGGGGCAGTAGTTTGATTATACTCCGAAAACTAGGAAAAAAAACAACTGGAGTCCGTGTGGTAACTATGAAATGATTTATCGACCAGCAGTACAGGGGCAAACCTGGACTGATGAGAAGTATTACTTAGAGTTTCCATGCATGGTTTGGACATGATCCCAGTAGGATAGTTGACTTTGGCCGATGACATGTCTGCCTCACTGGTTATAAATTAGTAGCTAACAGTGATTTATAGCTTTTCCAGATACATTTTGTTTGGTTGGTTGCAGTACATCTGGGGAGTTATGTGCCCATGACGTGTTTAACATGTAATAATTAGCAAACCTGAATCCATCATTCTCGTTTTCAGCATTAGGTTTGACTTTTATTCATGCAAGAAAACATTTATCACTGTCAACAGCTTTGGTGACTTATTCCAAGTTGGTGTTGAAATATAATGTTGAGTAGGAGAAGCATCTGCTACAAACCAGTGTCAAACCATGAAATAATATTATATTTGATTAAATTAACTTTCCAACAAAAGGTTTAAGTTGAAATAATAAATAAAAACACAGGTCATCTAGCTGCTGTGTGATGTCCTCCCTCAACTGATCTAGCGAGCAAGTTTGGTTGTTACTTTCCCAAAATTTCAGCACCAGATTCCCGCCCATGAGTCGAATTGGCTTCTTCTACAATTCTTGGGTTTCATTAACCTGGCCTGTAGGGGGCGAATGAGCAGAGGTGGGACAACTCAGTTTTGCTCCCATTGAAAACCATGTAAGTCGTGTATGTTTTGGAGTCAAAAGGCTCTCATCCTGTGCGGTGTACGGTTGTTGCAAAAGTCTTAATCGGGAGGGGGACACTCAATTCTAAGGGAGTACTAAAAAATATTTCTCAGTCTTGATTTTGGGCATGTTTGAAAAAAAAAAACAAAAAAAACAGAATAAATTGCTGCGTTTCATTCGGGTGGCCTGCAGGAAAGCCTTGATCCACCTTGCACGCCTCATTCGAGTGATTTTTTTCATAATGTACTCCTTTATTTGGGATCACAGTTGGAACACGGAAGAAACTCTTGTCTTTCTCTCTATTTGCGCTGTTGCTACAACCATACACCGCACAAAAAGATGGCATTTTGACAGCGCTTCTACTATATCTCTGTGTATAAACCCGGCAGACTGCACCGCCACGTTTGCTATTCGCGCCACTGCCCTGACGTCTATATATGAAACCCAAGAATAAGGGAAACTCTTTAGGTGAAATCAGCACTCAGTTTGTTCACTCCTTTGAAAGTCCATGCCTTTGACCCATCCTTGCCGGAGGATTTGATGTTTTGACTTTGGGTAAAGGGAATAAACCTGAATGCCTGGGAAAAATAAATACATGCAGAAAAAAAAATCTTCTTAGAAATTCCTGGATAACCGGCCTTATAGGAGGCATGAGGCATGAGAGATCCCCACTCCATCCAGAATGATCTTTGACGATTGGTAACATGGGCTATAATCTAATGCAGCCATTCCCAAACTCAGTAACACCGAGGCCCCCTTAAAAATCTGACGGGTCTGAGTGGCCCCCCAAAATAATAACCAAGACGACAACATTAAGAATAGGCTCTTCTGGTTATTTTATTTTGGGGAAATAGCCTCTGCTACAAACATTGTAATACAAAAATGATTACAGTGGATTATTCAAGTCAAATAATGAACACAAATATTTTAATATTACAAACAAAACATTATAAATTTAACATTAAATAATTATATATATATATATATTTTTTTTTATGACCTCCCGCGGCCCCCCTGCAGTACCCTCGCGGCCCACCAGGGGGCCGCGGACCCCACTTTGGGAGACACTGATCTAATGGATTTGTTGCACAACTCTCACTTATTAAGAAAATATACAACCTGCACCGTAACTAAACGTGCTTTTTAAGAATGAATTTTCTTTATAAATGTCTATGTCATGCAAGCAAATTTAAATGCACATTTCAATTAATTGTCAAAAAAGTGTGTAAGCAGTTTTCAAACCAGTCCACACATTGATATGGCAGCAGACAGATGGTCACTTCTCACTGACCACAGCTCAATGTGTTGTTCATGATGCAACAGCTACAGCAGTGCAGTCAGGGCTGTCACGCTCCTCCTCCTCTAATGGTCTGAGATCTGCCAATTCTCCCAACTGTCGCCGCACGGACAGTAATGACCGCACACAGCCTGGTAACTCATCACAAAAGAGACGGCACTCTTATAATTGGGCCATCCACCTTTCTCCACTCGGTTACAAAAAGAAGTGTCTCTCAAAATGACAAGGTCTAAGACAAAGACGATAAAGTCTTGAGAGATTGTGAGGATTTAGCGAGGTTTCAACAATTCAACAAGGTTCATGAGGTTCATACTGCTATTAAGCAATCATACATTGTAAATATATATATATATATATATATATATATATATATATATATATATATATATATATATATATATATATATATATATATTTTATTGAAATGGCAAATAGCAAGACCAGCACTACTGCATTAGACAATGAGATATGGCTTAGAAGTAATAGAAGTAAAAGTTGCCGGCCAATTACCAAACACAGCTAGCATTGATTTCCGCTTAAAGTAGCCATCCGTTCATGCATATTCTATGTGTTCCTGTTTAACTGTCCGTCTCTAGACAGTAATGCTTATTTAATATGCATTAAAGGTTAGTATTGCAGCAATAGACACCTTAAACAAACATAGCATGTCAACAATCACAATACTTGAATCTAAATTACAATATTTTAGCAAACCAATATCTTTAGGAACGTTAACATAGATGTGAAGTTTTTTGCACTTACACAGTTTATTGATCATGGATAAATGGATTGCTATTCTTCTTCCTGGTTTGCTATTATAAAAACTAGCATTTCTTCTTTGAGATTGGAGACCTGTGAGTTAGGACTACTCCCTCACTATATTACATTATATATTTCCTCACTTTTTAAATTTTCTTTAATTTCCATAGTTGGCGAACCAAAACAAATCACAAACGAGGAATTTGAGTTATTAATGTTGATAATGTCATTACTTGTCCCTGAATCTAAGACATTGGGGTTAAGTAGCTAACCATCAGACACGAGTTCTATTACTTTGTTTAACTTAAGTGTAATGCTATTCCAAGAATACAGTTGGCAAATCAGTATTATCTTTATGCCTATATCTAATACACAATTCACTAAAGCCGATATCCTGGTTGAGCCTTTCAATGGATGTAGTGAGATCATACACGGGTTGTAAATAACCAAGTGAAGTTATTTTGTAGTTACTTTACAATTAAATACCTTAAATAACACACTTATAAGTATAATTTATTATATGTTAGCTATATATCTGTTCGTCCCTATTTGTAGATGCACAGGGTCAGCACCCTGACACTCAGAAAAGGTTATTGCTAATTGTCATTAGCTACTGTATGCATGCAGTTTTTTTAAGCAGTTTCTGTTCCGAGTGCTGGATGTGTTCCCTGTGTTCTGTTCTGCAGCACTAAACATCCCCTCTGAAAGTAATGGTTCTCTTATCTTTACTCGTCTGATAATACTGCACTGGCAATAGAAGGTCTAATAAAATGTCTGATTAGTTTCACAGAATTTCCCATCTTTGGTCATTATTGAATAAATTCCTCCAGCTTAATTGCATGGGTTCCAACATAGGTCACAAACACCAATTAAAAATGCAACCTACAAGTCTTCCTTTTCACAGCTAAACCAGATAAGCCAAAGACTGACCATATTTCAATGTGCCGTTCTTGACCCTCGGCTGACTGCGGCTCAGGGACAGCTCTATCAAGGACACAGTGGAAGTGCGAAGATCTGAGGAGAGAGGGAAAGGAAATATCAGCTTTATTAAATGTGTATCTTATTTGTTGTTACCCCACCAAGCCACCATGTGTGTGTGTGTGTGTGTGTGTGTGTGTGTGTGCGTGCGTGCCCGAAAAAATTAAGCAAAATTCACAGGACGGATTGAATTGAAATTTGGTCATTTGTGTAGAGTTCCATGGCCTTGGCGTGCAAGTTCTATCTTTTTTGTAGTTGAAACTTTAAAGAGTTATTAGCAGCAGCAAAAAAAGAACATTGTAAAAGTATTGATTCAATCTTTTGATTGAATTACTCTACTCAGAAAGGACTGGTATCGCCCAGAAGTTAAACCCAGGACCTTGAGAGGCTAACCACTCAGCCAGGATCCTCCCGCAAATAAACACATAGATTACATGACTCAGTTTGACTTTGGCTGGAGGAGTTTTATGTAAGATATAGTGAGAGATATCAATCAGGCGTTTGCAGTCACAATGTGTTGTGCAAGGGTAATGGACCTCCTGCCTTTCAAGCTAAAAAGCATGTAAACTTGTGAATACTAGAAATGTCACAAAAGGTTTGAAAGATAGGAAGTCTGATACTTTTAGTTTCAAAGGCATTATCCTTACAAAGATTAATCTAAAAGATTCAAAAAAAATATTTTTTCTTCTTAAGTTAAATTGTTTCTTTTGGTTCTTTTGAAAGACAAATTGGATGCATTACTTTGTTAACTTTCTCTCGTCTGATTTCATGAGCCTATAATTCACCCTATTTTCCGGTAAACAGTTTTCTCCCCAAAATATCTCAAAGCCACAAAATATGACACCCAATAACACCATCATATCTTCACATAAACACTTCTGGTAAAGATGCTACAGGTAATCAGTGCCGGCAATGCTGTAAGAGGGGCTACACCTGAATATGGCCGACAGGGAAAGCCATTTGTCTCTGTCACAACTGGTGCCATTCCTGCTCTTATTAGCCGTCTTTGGAAACCACTGTTCATTAGGGAATTTGAAGTGGCTGCTAATTGCTTCAATTTCTATCGGAATTATAAGCACCTTGTGCAATACTGTGTAGTCACAAACTCCATGGAAAATCTAATTATGAATAAACAGCACGGCGGCGCTGAGGGATATTATGTAACTTTCTGGTAGAGGGTCATACATTTATCTAGAGATTGCAGAAAAATGTAATACCACAGCTGACTGATGAATGGCATTACACGAACCCTCTATTGCAGACCAATATATTGCAAGATTGAAGGATTTTAATAATGCAATTAAAAGGAATTCATAAGTTCAATGCCATCTAAACCCATTACGATGCTGTTGACCACATTTAATGTCTGAAATGAACAGCAGGCAACAAGAATCAACTGGCCTAAGGATAGTCTGAAGTCTGAACAATTGGGCAGGCCACATAAATGAAAGGGCACTGGAATAGAGTTGCTTTAAAAAGTAACCATCTCCTTGGTGACTTGAGTTTCCAGCCTGTGAATAAAAGATCCAACTGATGCCGAGGTGGGGGGCAGTGTCAGAAACAGTGAGGCAGCTATAATGGCAGAGATCACTCAATGGTCCCACAATTATATGGACAGAGACACGGCCCCGGGACACAACTTAATGGCACTAATGAGGCTTATCTGTCTGTTCTCAATCCGCTTAAACTGACCTACGTCATGGATCTGGTCTTATTAAAAAGTAAGCCAAAAGAACAGAACCGGTATGCCACTCAAGCTGGTTTCCAGTGTGATGTGACGGGCAAACGCAGCCTGGACGGGGATCAATCCCGACGTGTACATTTGCTGCAGCTGTGGGTGCTCTTTAATTCGCTATTCACTGGCTGAGCGCTTGTGATTAATGACAGGTACTTAGCTTAGAGACACGGTCGATAAACCCACTGGTCCAGGAACTTAATGCCAAGCGGTGCGCCAAGAGAGAAGCAGGAGATCCCCGGGCTGTAGCAGCAGAAAGAAATGATCTCTGATGCTCTTGATGCAAATGTATGCATGCATTAATGTATGTGTGGGATGACAAAATGATGCGCGTAAAATCTGTGTATAAATTCGCACAAACATGAATGGGCTGTACAGTGGCTGACTGGGTTCACTGCCAGAAGGTTATGGGGTTCTATACAGTACGAGATTGGGCTCCACAGTGTGCATTGATCAGTGATAGCAGAGTAGTGCTTTGAGAGACTTCAACAACCGAGAGACTTTTATCATAACAATTGATGAGGCTTTTATTTTGAATGCTAATTATAAATAATCAAGAAACAAAAAAACTCCACACAATATGTCCACATTGTCACAAATTGTGTCATATAAACCCATTGAGACAAAAATCTTTTGAAAATGTATGGCAAAGCACAAATAAGTCAAGAACTGAGGCAGTATGACGTTATTGTATAGTATCACAAATAATGTTATGGAGAAATATTCCCAAACACTATAAGAATTCTTGTGGCACTGAAAAATAATATGATGGGCCATTTTAGGTGCAGTGAGGGGAGGGGGTCCTATTTGGTTCTCGTTCCACAGCTTTTCACGCAAGTGATTGCAGATTACATAAGGATTACACTTCGATTTTAACCTAACTAAACTACATAATCAGCACTCATTAAACGCAAAAAAGATAAGAAAAAAAATCACCAAGGTCATTACCAGCAGTTATGTGAACAAACAAAGCAATGCGCTGGGTGTCTCTCAACGACAGAGCTATTTCAGCTTTGGTAAAGTCTGGTCTGTGGCGAAGCACACTTGTTCTTCGGGACGCGTCACTACTGACCTCCAGCGTGCGCACGGAGCGAAGGAGAGGAGAGAAGCAGTCTGTTCACGGATTCCTTGAGCTGCGTCTGTAAGAGAAGTAGGGACGCGCTGGGATAGGGATATTGTGATCCATCTTTACGCACGGACAATGTGGCGCTAAAAGTTGTCACTCTGCTTTCCTCTCTTGCTTTACCAGGGCGGAGCTTTTTTTCCCCGTACGTGAGAAAGACACGTGGTCGTTACAAACCTCTGTCAGGACAGAGTGGGGAGAGGAGGAGACGGAGGAGAGATGCGGGCGCAGTCGGGATGGGAGAAGGCGCGTAAAGAAGGGTGTCCGCTTTCCAGAGCCGTGTGGATATTCTGCCGCGGCTCCACGCGCGCTTTTTGGGGAATTAACAACGTAAAAGACTTTTACGCACTGCTTTTATTTCTACTGGAGCGCCACGGCCACGCGATGTGAACTAAAGAGAGACAAGAGGATTTTAGATGTATATTTTCAAAGGGAAAAACTAAAAATGGAATATATTTTCAGACTGATTTAAATGATTCAACTCTCACTGGGACCTGTCAAAATGGATTTTTTAAACACCTCTTCACTGGATGAGGGGATGGAGGCTGACAATATCTCCTCCAATGCCACCTCTGTAACTCGGTACAGCCAGCTGGCCATCTGGAGTCTGGCAGGACTGGTCAGTTTCATCATTCTCGTAACAATAGTGGGAAATGTCCTGGTTGTGATTGCAGTTTTAACAAGCCGAGCCCTCAAACCACCTCAAAATTTATTCCTTGTCTCCCTGGCCAGTGCAGACATTTTGGTTGCCACTCTAGTGATGCCCTTTTCACTGGCCAATGAACTTATGGGCTTTTGGTTTTTTGGCAAGATTTGGTGTGACATTTACCTAGCCCTAGATGTACTGTTCTGCACCTCATCTATTGTGCACCTTTGTGCTATCAGTTTGGACAGGTACTGGTCCGTCACACAGGCTGTAGAGTATAATTTAAAGAGGACACCACAAAGAGTCAAATGCATGATTGTAGTGGTGTGGCTAATCTCTGCTGTCATATCCTTCCCACCTCTAATTTCAATGGACAGAAGTAGCACAGATGAAAGTCAATGCGCACTCAATGATGAAACTTGGTACATCCTTTACTCCAGCATTGGATCTTTTTTTGCGCCATGTGTTATTATGATCCTTGTATATATTCGAATTTATCAAGTGGCCAAGACAAGAACTCGAACAATGTCAGAAAAGAAAAGAGATGTGGACGTAACGCAGGAGAACGGGATGGATCAATTAGAAGGGAAAGGTGGTTCCATAAAGTCTAGCAGAGGTGGGAGTACTAAGGAGCGTGAGAATGGACACTGCCAGGAACAGCCAGCGGAATCGCCCGTCCAAACCCAGGACAAGAACCAACACCCAACCCATGATGACGACTACGAAGACAGCAGCTCTTCCGACGAAAAGCCCAAAAAGAATTCCTCCAAGCATCATCAGGCCGACAAACGCGATCGCAAATCCAGCCGGAAAAGTAGCTCTGCCTCCAAGTACTCCAGCAGGAAGTCCCGAACCAGCTCCAAATCCATTGACTTGTTTTCATCGCGCAGGAAGAGACGAAGCACTGTCAATCGAAAGAAGGCATCTGCGGCCCGGGAGAAGAGGTTCACGTTTGTCCTGGCTGTGGTGATGGGGGTGTTTGTAGTTTGCTGGTTTCCATTTTTCTTCTCTTACAGTCTGTATGGGATATGTCGTAAGCCCTGTGAAACTCCAGAGACCCTTTTCAAATTCTTTTTCTGGATTGGCTACTGTAACAGCTCTCTAAACCCAGTCATCTACACAATTTTCAATCAGGATTTCCGGAGAGCATTCCAAAAGATCCTCTGTAAGTCATGGAAGCGCTCTTTCTGATGGGAGGTCAATGGGCCTTAAACTCAGGCTGGGTGGGAGGATAATATCCAGACACACTATGAGGGATTGAAGAAAAATGAATAGGACACTTAAGGTATCAGAAGACGCAGGAAGGTGTAGTAAAGTAATACAGTATCGCATTCACAATGCTCGAGTTCCTCTGTGGTCTGGATTGGCCTTGCCTCATTTCCCTCCACGTCGACTCATTCCATCTTTCGAATGAATTAAAGTATTACAATTAACTGTGGTGCATGCACTACCGAGTGAAGGATGTGAAGGTTTTCCAAAAACTTTTATAACTCCATTGAATATCTTACGAAGGCCTTGACAATCTCAAACTGCTGTTTGATTCAGAGATAGCGTAATCTTCTTATCTCACTCTTCACATTTTTGTAAAGATCTCCCTCTCAAAAAGAGGACCAACGGGACGATGGGGCTCCTTGCTTACTGTTACAGTAGCAAACTATTTTACTTATAAAAAAAGAACAAAGTCTATTGTTGACAGAAAGTGCTTAGAGTCATATTTATTTAATTTAAAATATGGTATGTGCAATGGCTTCCTGTCATCTGGATGTGTGCTTTTGTGTACAGTAGTAGTGTATTATTTCTCTACCTGGCATGTTTGTGCTCATGAGAGAGAGAATGTAGAAGTAGTGTTGAGACTGACAGCTCTCCATTGAGTATGCGCTGTGTGCCACTGCGTGAAAGCAGACAGCCGAGGACTGGAATATCAGTGCACATATGGAGGGCTGTGATAAAGTCACTTTATCTCCAGTCACCACTTCTTGTTCCCGAAATGTACGGTGCAGATGTTTGGTCATTAGCCCAATTTATATGCACTGAAGAGGGCCATGTGCTAGTGAGGAATAGATAAGACTAATTGGATGGCATCGCATATGAATTATGTAGACATGACTAATTAAATGCTCTATAACAGTATAATTATCCAAACTTGTTCAAGGAAGTGAGAGTTTTTATTGTATTAAATACATGGGTGTTTGTTATAAAGGCAATGTATAACCTGGGGACTTTCAGGTGAGAATTTGCACTGCTCTGTTCATTGTCACTGTCTGGAGATGTGTGTCTCCTCCTCTGTCAAGTACAAGCCCATCACACCTCCCAGCTCTGCTGTAAAGTCTGCTGCACTCACTCACGCAAACCATTGTGAAACACGGACAAATATAAGCATTTATAGCCCAATGAACTGAAGCTTGCCTTTCATTGTAACTAATGGCAGTATCCTTGTGTGGTGACTCACACATATTAAGATAAACATGTAATGTTTGTATATTGAACAAATGCTCAATGATGTTACAGAGACCTCCTTGTCTTTTTTAAAGCTGAGAAAAGTGTTTACTCCTCTGTTTTGAGCACATAATGAACAAATAAAGAGTTTCATTCGACTAACACTTAACTTGTACAAGGACAGCTTTTGTTGAAGTCGGGGGACTGAATATTTAGTTCTTGTCTCCTGTTGAAATTTCTGAGTTTGTATGATGAATATGTTTATTATAGAGTAATGTGGTTTTGGTGTTATTTCTGATATATTTATGTCGCTGTGGCAACAGATCTACGGAGCAGTACCAAAATAAGTCACTATTCTTAAAACCAAATCTTAGTCTAAACAATTGAATTTGGTTTATTAGAATTATAAGTAAATATTGTAGGGAAAACAAACTATTCTGGTGATCACTCTTACAAATAATGAATGTCTTGTTTAAAGGATCTTAAATTACATCTCTATCTTTAATTCTTGCACCCAAACACAAGATATAAATCAAATATTGCATTTTCCCATAATACTGTTAACGCTGATTTATTCTTACATCTAAAGAATATAATCTCTAATAGAGATGATAGCCACATTGTTTGTTTAAATTTCTTAAGCAATTCCAGAATTCGTTTGGGTTGCCAGTTTCATTCGTTAAATCCCCCTATGTGCATCAGCTGCAGCACATACATAGTAGTGGAGGCTGAACACCTAATTATTACTGTACCTAAATTAAGCTGATGTCATGTAGTATACTGACGGATAAGATACTTAATGAATGAAAGCAAGACTGAGATGTAAAAATCAGGTTAAAAAAAAGTTTAGTCTTAAATGAGATCAGTTGGAGCACATTTACTGTAATTAGGCAGAACTTTCTATTACAAGGAGCAGTGAGAGGGAGAGTTGTGAGGATCCATAATTGATTAAGTGTGATTAATAGTTATAGCCCAATAAAAACCCAAAGCTCTCTAGGAGTATTTTAGTATTAAGTGCCAGTTAAAAATTGTCCAAAGCTCTAACATACTGTAAGTGTCAAAATGTCACAATCATTTCTGATTCAATGACAAAACAAATGTTCTGTATTTTTCCACATTGCTAAACCTTTTGCATTCAACTTCAGTAATCTGTTAAATCATGCATGACCAGTTTTAAGCAACTATACCATATTCCATGGTGACTTGACATGCAGGTGAACTTGGTCTAGTCTCTCCACTTAAGAAGAAAAAAAAAAAAGCACTCTTCTCACTTGAGACTAGATGATCCGGTCAGGGGTCAGATTTGGGTGAGAGCGTAGCAGGATGCTTAAGAAATCTACACTCGCCTCGACATACACACTGGTTGGGCAATGCTCATTAATTCATTCAGTAAAAGCTGAGCCGTGTTACCCAATGACAGAGCAGATTGGACGCCAGCCCACCTCTCTCCTCCATGGCTTTATATCTCGCTGTGTCAGCAGGTCACATCAACACTGCTGCGAATGCTTCTCCCTGGGCCCACTTTAGGGAGCAAAAACCCATCCACCACATATTAAAGACACACGGTATGTGTCTAACTATAGCTGCAAGAATGTCATTGGCTCTGCATTCAAAGGTGAGCCTCATCCATCAGAGCGAAGAGGAGGACGGCATGGGAATATAGGGTGATGTTTTGTTTTAGAATCACCAAATGATGTCTTTTAAGTGAAAATGAATGACATGTAATTTTCCGGGCCCCATTAGTAATGTGTTTTCTTTCTCTGAACAGAAAAATTCTTGTAAGAGTAACATTTTGCAAACAAGTCAGACCCCATCACATAACAAAACATGTTATCTTCTTGCAAAAGACCTGTTAGTCACTATTGGCTGAGAGAGGGTGGTCCTTTGTTTTTCCCTTTTCTGTCTGTAAAAGCTGATCTAAATATGATCAAAAAAATACATGCAAGTGAAAACAAGATAGAATTCAGCTTTTCTAAAAGAGATAAATGATTTTATTACCTAGTTTACATCATTTGTGGGTTGAGATTGGGGACCTCAGCTTTAAATGTACATTTTTTTAACAACTGCAGTAAATCTTTGTAGTTGGACGCTCTCCCGGACTCCAACAGAATTCTCTTAATTTGTTTAGGTTTAGGGTTTACTTAAGGCAATTCCAATGTGTTTATGAACCACATAGAATATAGCCAAAGCTTAACAAACTCCTAAAAATTAAGAACAGTAATACAATAATGGTTTAAACAATATTTAGAGAAGCCAGTAAAACATTGGAGGGAAAATGTCACTCAGCTGCGAACGCCTCAAGATTTCCCAGGATGAGCAGGAGGAAGTGTGCGTGGATGGGAAGTCTTGGCAATTATGTTCAGATTACAACAATGTAGAGGAAGAGAATGGAAAGGGGATAAACAGAATTAGGGCTGGGTATCTTTCAGAACCAGCTCATACAATACAAATCTTGATAGCCTGACATAATTCGGTACATATAGATATAATTATTATTATTAGTTTATTTGATATGGACATATCAACTGCATTGGACAAACCAGATACATTGTTTCCAGTGTTATAGCAAAACTGCTAATTTGCAACAACTGTCCATAGGAAATAATAATAGTAATAATAATAATAATGCATGGGTTTTATATACTGTAGCACCTTTTTGGACACTCAAAGGCGCTTTACATGTCATAATTCTTTCACTCCATAGATACTGGAACAATACATTTCGGAACTATATGATATATATGTCAAAAGAAAAGGCTTGTAATCCTTATCGAACGCTTCTGCAAATTTGAGAAAAAACCCTACTGATGCATTTATATTTAATGTCAGGAGACATCGTTATTACATCAAAATATCACAATGAGAATAAATAAGCAAGATGAAAAAGTAAAAGTAAAATATAATAAATGAATAATAATACAATAAAATAGACGAAATAATACATCTATACAAATATAAACATTTGTTTTTTGTTGCACAGCTCTAAGTAGAACATCAAGGCTGAACTTTATCATAAGCTCAACAAGAGGTTGACCCGAATCACACTTATTCAGAGCTTTTGACACTTACATATTAACCCAAAAACACATTAAATTTGTAGAACTTTTTTTATCCATCACAAGATTTGCAATCAATTGATTTAAATGTTACATAATATACAAACAAAAATGCAGTCAAAATTTGAAGCCTAATAAGTGTCTATCCTGTGGGAAACGTGTTGTGTATGAATCTTTCTGACCTCGCTCCCACCCTACACAAACACGGCAGGAGCAGTTGGAGAGCTCAGTGGGAGGCACCTGGCATGTTTAATTCAGACCAGATTTCAGAGCTCCTCATGGGGACAGTGCAGAGAGGGGCTGACAACACTGCATGGGGACATTACTAGTCACTCCATTGTAATTTTCTACAGGGTTAAGAGATGGCACATTATAAACAGGAACTCACTTACTTCATAGTATGGCTCAATTAGAAGGAAATGTATTTGTTGAAAACAAGCCCTAACGACTCACGATGTCTTCCCATTCAAAGCGATGGCCTGTGATAATTGCCGTATGTTCTCACCATGGAGGGCAAAATATTAGCAGAACTGACACATTCAGCCACCTCTGGTCCCTCAGTCGTGCGTGTGTCGTTTGTGGTCGAGATGAACATGTGACTGTAGAGGGAAAGAACTGAGAACAAGAACTGTGTTTATTCACAGCATCACAGTTGAAATTAGTTATTAAACAATTAGTCAAGAGTCAAATAAAATAAAC